AAGAAGAAGAAGAAGAAGAAGAAGAAGAAGAAGAAGAACAACAACAACAACAACAACAACAACAACAACAACAACAACAATAACAACAACAACAATAACAACAGCAACAATATTATAACAACAAGAACGAAGACGACGATGACAATAGCTACCACAACACCTTCATTAGACTGATAGTGATATACGTACAATTTTGTAAGTATCTTCGTTGCAAGACAGAGGCACCAGTGCTTTGGATCCGTAGTCGTCCTCAGCCTTTCTGCCGCCACAGCAGCGGAACTGGAAGGGGGAGGGGAGGAAGAAGGGGACGAAGGGTGAAAACACTGAAAACCAGAGCTAGTTTTAAACGTCAAGATTTCACTGCTTACTGCTTACTGTTGTATTTTTATTGGATTAGGTAGTATGACTGCTTGCTTTTTTATTTTGGAACGGAAAAAGGGGGGGGGGGTGGGGTTGACAAGGAAAAGATGTCACCTGTTGTAATATCCGGTCAAGATTCACCGCGTTAGGTCATTATAATTTTGGTGTTTTAATTATCTTGTTATTCTTGAGCTCGTTCGCAAGTGGCTGGAGGGCACCATAAGTAGATCTCACAACCTAACAGTTTCTGTCTGTTCTATCAATTTTGCTGTTTCCCAAAAACAGAAAGACAGTTACCGTATACTTGTGTTCCAAATTACTTAAACTAAATAACTTACCTCCTTTCTCAGTCCATCTCTGCTTTCACATTCACCCTTTCCTTCAGTTACTCGGTTTATATGCACTCTCTCTACCCCCCCCTAAAAAAACGACCACACATACACACAGTCACTGATTTAACTGCCCATCCGTTCTCTGATTCACTCACTCGCTCACTCACTCATAAACCCATTCATCCATTCACTCATTCACTCACTCATTCACTCGCTTGCTCACTCTCTCATTCACTCACTCACTTACTCACTCTCTCTCTCTCTATCTCTCTCTCCCTCTCTCTATCTCTATCTCTCTCCCTCTCTCTCTCTCTCTCTCTCTCTGTTTCTCTCATACCGTAACCAATTACGATTAACGGAAACACATCACACAGCATCTGTGGTAAAATGACTCCTCCCTACAGGATTCAAGCGTCTATGGA